CTACTAAAAGCCATTGTTTCCCCTGCTGATTTTCCCCAGCCTTGCACAATTATGTGGTTAGATCTCCATCCAGTTTGGAGGGGGGGGGGATATACAGAGGTCACATCGTTAGCCCTTGTTCCATTCAAGTGCATTGATTTATTTCAGTCAATTGCATCAAGCTTAAATTAACCCAACAAGCATTTTGAGAAGATCTGTCCTTGCCTCTTGCTTGCAAATGCATTTTATTTTGTACGAGTGGAGTCCATCCCAGTCATGAAAGCTGCCATCAGCTGAAATCTTATAATGTTGGATGGGAATAAAGACAGAATTGATCTGGGCACTGGTGAAGATCAGGAAGACGAAAAGAGGAAGTTTTGAGTAGGGAATTGGTGAGACGTTATCAGTGCTTTAGTGGATGTAAACTAATTGCGACATGTTGATACGCTGGGATACTTTAAGGCTGATTAAATCTCTTCCCACCATCTTATCAAAAACCCCTTTGCTGACTTCTTTCAGTCACAATTCAGTCTCTGGAGATTCTCAGTCATCCAGGTTTCCCCCCTCCCCGCAAAAGGCAACTGGACTTCGCTTTTTTCCCCTGAAGACATTTTGCTTCTCATCCAAGAAGCTTCTTCCGTTCTGTTCAGTTCTTCATGAACGGAATAAGCTTCTTGGATGAGAAGCAAAAGGTCTTCAAGGAAAAAACAAAGTCCAGCTGCCTTTTGAAGAAAAAAAAAAAGCACCTCTGGGATGGCAATTGAGTCATTTATTTAGTTTTTTAGATTCTCTGATGAATTAAGAGACTTTAACCTCTTAAATCATCTCCTTTTGGGGAAAGGTTTTTTTTTTAAGCATTGGGCAGTTGAGCTGAGTTCCTGTTCAGAGTTGTTCCTGTTCAGAGTATGTTGTTTGATCTTTTCACAATTAAGTGTGGCCTTTAATTGGGAGGCGTAGGTTTCCATTCCAAACAAATGTTTAATTCTAAAGCCATTCCCCAACCCAAGACCTTAATGGGCATTTATAGATATCATGTGAGTATTCTTCTCTGTAAGAAAGATTTCCCAGGCTAATCTGAACATTCACTGCCCTCAAAATTAGTCACTTGGAAAGAAAGCCGTTAAACAATGCCAAAAGGCTCAGTCATAATGCTGATATTGCTAGCAGACATAATAAAACACCCTATTCTCTTTTCTTGATCCAGTGTTTTTGAAAAGTGTTTATTTTGGTCATCAAACCTCATGGTGAAATCTTGCACCCAGAACAAACCTTAGTGCATATAATTTAGTAGGTTTGTGTGATTTCAAATGATGGGTAAAGGAATTGTCATTTTGTGTTTTTCTGACACAGAAGCAATATGGATAGGTGCTCTTATTTTCAGCTATGCATATTTCTATCTTTTATTCTCTGGATTAACTTTAGATTTTCAAATAAAGATCCTGAAACTGAATTTCAACGTTTGGGTTATTGAAGAAATTTTAGAAAAGGCTTTCCACTGACAAATGAAAGTATTATTATTTTATTACAGGTAAATCCTCAACCTATAGCCGCATTTGAGCTCCAAATTTCTGCTGCCAAGTGAGACATTCGTTAAATGGGTTTTGTCCCATTTTATGATATTTCTTGCCACAGTTGTTAAGTGAATCACTGAAGTTATTAAGTTAGTAACACCGATGTTATGTGAATCTGGCTAATACAGTAGAGCATTGCAGCCAAAGTCCTTGGATTACAGAATCATCTTTTTAAAAATATATATATGTTGATTTTTCGACTTGTTGGTATTTTTGCAGATAAAATAGACGGTATCTGCTGGAGTTGGAATTCTCAAGCATCACAGCATCTTATGCAATATTGATGTTGTATGAAGGTTGCTACTTAAGATAAACGAATTTGCATCGCCTATACTATCATTCCCCTTTTGCCTCATATGAGTTCTTCAGAGTTATTTAATCAGACAGAAGGATACGCAGCTATTTTCCCCTCTTCCTGTTTTAATGTGAAAATATTATATTCTGTCATTTTTTTTCCAGTGTTTCCCTTGGAACAGATTGCTAAGAATAATAAACTAATGTATTGGAACTGTAAACAGTTGATGGATTCTTCAAGTCCGTATTGTGCTTCATTTGGGAAAAATGAGTCATTAGCCAAACAGAAATTATCCAATAATTTTTGTGCTTTCTGTTTTGTTCATAGTTACTTGAATATCTTCCTATCCTTTTACATGTGTCTGCTTATACAAGTAGTTCTTGACTTATGACAGTTCATTTAAAGTTACAAAGGCCCCCAAAGCAAAAAAAAAAATACTGGAAAATGATTCAAACATGGTTAGAAGAGTTAACTAAAAACAACATTGATTTTGTCCCAGAATTATTCCTCTTAGGAATAATTAAAAAAGAACTATAGCAGAAAGATAAAATATCTTATATTACATATATTAACAGCAGCAAGAATTTCATATGCTCAGTACTGGAAGAAAAACTCCATACCACCTGAAGGCTTAATAATAATAAAAAAAATTAGAGTGTGTGGAAATGGATAAATTAACTACGGAATTAAAAGGGAAAACAGACACAGAATACAAGGCAGTATAGGAAAGATGGTTTATTTGGATAGATAATAGATATAAAAATAGAAAATGTAAATAATGTATATAATAAATAAGACGGTATGAAAGTATTATGCATTGTAAGTTTTGATAGGACACATAAATGTATATATAATGTCATAGCACTGTTTAATAACATTAAACATTATGTATAAACCGAAAAAAATTCAATAAAGAATTATTTAAAATAATAAAGTTACAAAGGCACTGAAAAAGTGACGACCATTTTTCACCACAAGCATTGCAGCATCCCCATGGTCACATAATCAAAATTCAGATGCTTGGCAACTGGCAGGTACTTATGACAGTTGTAGTGTCCCCTTTTGTGTCCTTCTGACAAGCAAAGTCAATAGGGAAGCCAGATTCACATAACAGTGGTGTTTCTAACTTGACGACTGTGGCAAAAAAAGATCGTCACATGGGACAAAGTTCGTCTGACAAATGTCTCACTTAGCAACAGAAATTTGGGGCTCAGTAGGTTCGAGGACTACCCTTAATAAAATAATAGGACTTTCACTTGTCCATGGGAAGCCCTTTTCTAAAACTTCTTCGGTAGCCCAAATGTTGGAATTTGGTTTCAGGATCATGTTTGAAAATCTAAAGAGAATATGTGATAGAAATACGTACAGCTGAAAATAGAGCGCATATTGCTTCTGTGTCAGAAAATCACAAAATGACAATTATTTTGCCCATCATTTGAAATTACAGCTCCCCTGGGATTGATAGCAGAACACGTTATACAAGAACAGAGGGAGAAAAATTAGCCTTCATTTTTATTCTCTCTGTATGAGTAAACCCCTAGGGAGTTTGGTATAAAAGCATTAGGGGGAAAATGTAAGCCAAAAGAATAATTTATGAGAGAAGAACTAGCAATTTCTTTAATTTTGTTCCTCCAATTTTTAACTTCTTCCCATCATCTGCCCACAGTTCATTGATTCATGAGTCAACATTCGACATAAAGTTTTATATCCTGTTAGGTCTTGGGGCAGGTAGATTTGAAAGTAGGATCTTGGTTTATTTGCAGGAAATCAGCAAAGAATTGCTTAATGCTAGGAATGTTTAAAAATCCCTTTTTAGTCATTGTACTGTTGGACTTATTTTTTAAAAAAATATAACAGCATTTAGATAATCAGGGATATGAATTTTTATAAAAGAACTGGAATGTCTATCCATGATAGAACTTAACATTCATTGCGGTAAATATATACGGCATTTCTCTTTCAGAAGTTAAAATTCTCTGGCATTTTCATTACACATTTCTTCCCTTCACCATATGCCATTGCTGAAACTCCAGGAGTTACTGGAGGGAAAGGAATTTTCCATGTATAATCTTAAATTATAAAGACACAGAGTCATAAATTATTTGCTGCAGAAAGCTGAGGTCAGTGTTTGCTTAAAAAAATAATAAACTCCACAAATTCAGCAGGACTAAATTACAAAAATATATGTATTTAGCTGGTAGACGTTAATATAAAATATTTTATAATTTATCTTTTCAGAAAACTAGCATTTTAACCAAGTCTTGTTTCCTTTCTATTTTCTGTTTCTAGACTTGTCTTATGCCTCCCCAGAATTTCACTTCCATTCTGCTTCATTCTTTCACTTTTACACAATTTAATTTTTTTTAAGCATCCAAGGTCAAGAAACCTCTGCAGATAAAACTTGTACAGTCGTTCTACACTAAATTTTTTTTTTCCTGAGGTCAATTTAGCTTCGGTCTTTCCCATTCCAGTGTGCTTGAGTTACCTTTCAGAATCCTTGGTCAGCATGACCTCTGGGAGTTGAGATTCCATATATCTACAGAATAAAATATTTATAGATCAGGGTTGAACTGTGAAGTCTCTGGTGCTATCTCAGTTTGGTGGGTTTTCTTGCAGATGTTTCATTATCGAACTAGATAACATCACCAGCAACCCCCACTTCCTACTAGCACTGATGATGTTACCTACTTGGGTAATAAAGTGTCTGTAAGAAAACATCCAAACTCAGAGAGTCCCGTGACCCCACAATCATGGTTCCAAGTAATGAACTTCAGGAAGTCAGGACTACTATTTCCTGCAATCGAGTTTGGTGCGGTTAACCTTGAGTTTGTATCTATTGTGTGCTCTTGTGTTGTTATGGTTGAAGCTGAAGTATTCATTGACAGGTAGGACATTGCAATATATGATTTTATATACTATACTTAGATCGGACCGAAGGCAGCATAGTTCTAGGTTGTCTAGGTCTAGAATTTCAAGTCCGGTGGCCTAAGGTATTCTGCAACGAGTAGAGGAGTGGAGAAGTCTTCTTGTGAAATATTTCTGGACTTTGTCAACTTTCTACCAACTTCCATCTCTGATCCAACTGTTGAAACATAGTCTAAGGTCCTCCCTTAAGACAGGCTTGAATGCCCTGATGATGTTTTCTTTCCAAACAGGAAAAGCCAATAACAATATCCAGTGGGATGAGGACTCCATAGAATATATGCCAGCTGACCCAGTCAGGATCGTGTTTGTCTTGGTCGTCCATGGCAGAGCTTCTCGCCAGCTGATGCGCATGTTCAAGGCGATCTATCACCAGGATCATTTTTATTATATCCACGTGGATAAGGTAACATAACATCAGTTCTGTCGTTCCCCAGCGCTTGTGATCCGCTTGTCTTGTGCTTGCTCTGTTTTGCAGTCTTAAATGCAGGTAGTCCTCGACTTGCAACAGTCCGTTTAGTGGCCGAAGTTACAATGGCACTGCAAAAGTTGTCAGAGTATATTTGTGAACTGGAATAGAGCATGGTAACAAGGTCAGCCAATGAATAGGCATAGCAACTAAGTCAGCCAATGAGGACTGTTTGGAAACTGAAACTAGAAGTAGCCTAGGCGTGGCTCTATATTCAGCTCTGCAGCTCTGAAGCTATGTTGAGCTCTGAGTCTGTCTATTGAAAATGAAACGGCTTCTCTCCTCTGCTGTCTGTCTGTCTTGCTTGCCTGCTGAACTAAAATGAAACTGATGTCTGTTTCTGAGCTCCTGAGTTGCTGTTCTGTTCTGAACCTATAACTTGTCTGCTTCTATTTGAGTTTGCTCCATGGAGAAATCTACAACTGGTATTATAAATTTCACTTTATGTGTTTATAAAGAAGTTAAATGAAACCTCAGCCATCTGTGTTTACTTTTCTGGTGCTGAATTTACTCTGCAATACTCTGAACAAGCACGAGCGTTTTTCAAATGTTGCAGCCATTGCCGCATCCTCAGGTCATGTGATCAAAATCCAGACACTTGGCAACTGGCATGTACTCATGATGGTTGCGGTGTCCCAGGGTCATGCCGGTGATCTCCTTTTGCAACCTTTTGAAAAGGCAAGCTAATGGAAAAAAGCCAGATTCACTTGACAGCCGTGTTACTAATTTAACAAATCCTTAACAACTGTGGCAACAAAGGTCATAAAATGGAGTCAAACTCATTTAACAAATGTCTCACTTAGCAAGAGAAATTTTGGGCTCAACTGTGGTTATAAACTGTGGTTGCACATATCATAGCTGCAGCAACCTATGTCTTGTTTATTCACGCATTTGTGAATTGTCTGCTCGTTTAGTGTTCCTCTCGCTGCCTCTCACCGAACGTTTTCTTCTCCCCGTAAAGCGTTCCAATTATTTACACCGGCAAGTGCTCCAGTTCGCGAGCCAGTATCCGAATGTGAGAGTCACCTCCTGGCGCATGGCCACCATCTGGGGCGGAGCCAGTCTTCTCTCCACCTACCTGCAGAGTATGCAAGACCTCTTGGAGATGAAGGATTGGCCGTGGGACTTCTTCATTAACCTCAGTGCTGCAGACTATCCTATCAGGTAACAAGGCCGATTGTCTGCTGACCGATTGCAAACAATACAGGTCGTCCTTTCCTTGTTTTTTTTTTCTTTTTGAAGACATTTTGCTTCTCATCCAAGAAGCTTCTTCAGCTCTGACTGGATGGTGGGGAGTGGAAAGATTTATATTCTTTGCAGGCAGCTGGTCATTTGCATCCTTTTAGAAGGGTCATTGAGGCCACTTGGAGGTTTATCTGTGTCCTCAGGATCACCTGGGTTAGTGCTCCTGGTTCTTGTAGTCTGCCATTTTTCCCTCTGGAAATCCATTCCTACTCCCACACCATTCAAAGGATATCATTGATTGAGAATTTGATTGTAAATTTGATTGATTGTTGATTGTAAATTTAAAGACAGTTTAACAGAGTGACTTGAATGAAGAACGTAAGCCTCTCAAAAGAGTGAGAAGAATGCAAAAAGAAACCAGGTTCAAACAGTAACAATTAGGTTACTCAGCTCTCAGGTTAATGGAGCCTACTTGGTATCTTAAACTTAGTCTCTGCCAAAGTCGCCTGTTTGGCTTCTTACATTTTTGTAAGACCAACTCTGAAGTTGCCTGACCTCAGATTGTCCCCACCACTTGGGCTAGGAGGTGAACAAATTGTGTCTTATTTGATACAGTGCCTGGAGAACACAATCTAACAATCAAGAGTATATTCACTAGCAGAGACATAAAGCAGTTCATAAACTACTGAGGGGTGGCCAGAAAGGCCCTGAATATCCTCCAATGGGTCTTAACAGAATCTGATTGCCGGCTTGTTGATGGTCTGTATTCAAGGAAAGGTCATACCCCATAATAGGCAAGTCATGGTGTTGCTTAGGACCATCATAAGATGCATCTACGAATTAGTTATGCTCCAGAGAACAGGCTTGCTCTCTGTTTGGCACGGTAAATCTGCTCGTCAGGAAGACCATTCATCTTTGTTTGTTCTGGAGGAATTTAAACAGGACCCAACAGTGTCCTTAAGATGTAGGTCAACCAAGTTGTTTTCTTCCTTTTTTCTCCTCCTTGCCCTTGAAACGAGGAGGAGAGGGAGAAAAGGAGGAAGAGTGGTAGGTGCTCAGCCGATGACTCTTGAGAAATGCTTCTGAGAAGCACAAAAATGGGGACAACCTCGAATCTGTGGGACCCAGTGCTGGCTGAACTCCAGCATCTCCACTTGAAAAGGATGCAGGAAGTCTTGGGATGACGCTGCTCATTGGGATAGAGAAACTGGGACATGGGACAGCTCTCTGATTTCCATAGTAGTCAATCTCTTCACATGCTACAGAGCTGCACTCCCGTCATCAGGTGTGAAAGGTCAGGTCCATAGGTGAAGGTCTAATTAAACTGATCTTTTGCTACTCATACCGATACAACCAATGCCAAGTAGTTTAACACCTGCTTGGAATTTAGGTAAGAGTCCATGGAATTCAAGAGAGGTTGGACTTAGCTCGTTTGTGGCTACCTAGGGATTCTAGGCTGATCTCTCTTTTGACTCCACCTCCCAGGTTCTGCCACTCCTTTCTCCTACAAAAACATTGCTAATGAGGAGGAATGCTCAGGAATATGATTCAAGAACATCTAGAGCAGGGGTCTCAAACACAATTTACCTGGGGGCCGCTGGAGGCAGAGTCTGGGTGAGGCTGGGGCGCACATAGAAGTATTTAGCCAGCTAGCGACGCATGGAGAACGCACTAATATTATACTTTCATATCACGGTGGGGGCCACAGGATATCATCCTGCAGGCCGCAATTGGCCCACGGGCCACAAGAATGAGACCTCTGATCTAGAGGGTCCACAGGTTGTCTGACTCTGGTTCAAACCCTGAGACTCATGGCTGACCAGTAGCCCTTCTAACCTTCAGTCAACCCAGCTACTTTCCTGGCCATCCCCCTAGGGAGAAAGTCTTTTTGAACCCTTAAGGAATGTTGAAGCTGAATTATATGGCTGAATTGAATCTACCTTTAAATCCAATCGTCTTGAGTTCATCCAGGAATGTAAACCAGTCAAGATGCAGGTATTTTAGGGATTGTGTGTTGAGGGATGCATCAACTTTTGCTATAGACTGAGCGGTTTGGGTGCCTAGATGGCTTTTCATTCAAGAGTAGAGCAGTGACACAAAGGGGTCAGAGGTAGGGGAAATATACATGACAGAAATCAGAATAAACAGAATTGGAAGGGATATTGTAGGTCATCTAGTCCAACCTCCCGCCCAAGCAGGAGACCCTACACCATTTCTGACAGATGACAGTCTAGTCTCTTCTTGAAAGCCTCCAGGGATGAAGCTCCCACAACTTCTGAAGGCAAAATCTGTTCCATGGATTGATTGTTTTCACTGTCAGAAAATTTCTTCTTATTTCCAGGTTGAATCTCTCCTTGATCACTCTCCATCCATTATTCCTTGTCCAGCCTTCAGGTGCCTTGGAAAATAGCTTGACCCGGTCCTGTTCTCTATGGCAGCCCCTCAAATATTGGAAGACTCCTATCCTGTCTCCCCTGGTCCTTCTCTTCCCTAGACTAGCCATGCCCAGTTCCTGTAACCATTCTTCATGTGTTTTAGCCTCCAGTCCCCTCATCATCCGGGTTGCTTTTCTCTTAGAGTTTCAACATCTTTTTTATAGTGTGGTGACCAAAACCAAAAAGATAGTTCCCCAAAGGATTTGAGGAAGTTTGGGACATTGGCATTATTTAATGATATAAAATCCCTTTAGAAGTTAAATTGGAGTTTCCATATGTTCATCTGCCTCAAAATGTCAGCTTGCTCTATCGTTGACTTGCCCCAATGGAAATCCGAGAACATTCCAAGAGTTGTGGGGGGAAAAAATGGGACTCCAAGGGCCACAAGCAACCTGGCGTTTAGGATGCCCATCCTTTGATAACCCCAGCAACGGTTCCCTGGCAACCTTTCTGGTCTCCTAGCAACAGGTTTGCTGAGACATACGGCCTCTTATCCTGGATCTTCTACTGTTCTGTCAGTAGTGATTGAATGGATTGTGCAAATGACTCAGTTGATGTCATCAATATTGATGTTGGGCCTTGTTGTTGTTGTTTTGTTAATTCCAAATAACTGTATCTCGTCAGCATACAAGAAAAACAAAAGACAAGGGAAACAAAGCAATCCAACCCAAAATAAGGGGGAAACCAAGAATATAATAAAGCCAATTTATTTATTTACCAGCTCGATACCCGTGCTTCGCTATGAAACTATGTAGTTGGGCTTATTTTGGGGGTGGGGAGAAAAATAAGGGGGGGGAAATTCTGCCTCTGCCTCCCTGCATCCATCGGTATTCATCTGGCTAGCGTCCTGTCAGTGTGTGAGAGAGTTGAGGGCTGTTTGGAAACTGAAAGAGTATTTGCTGTGGGAGCAAGAAGGAGACGGAAAGGAGCCATGTGGGTGTGACCTAGTTGGCCTTCCCCCACCATGGTGCAGGAGGCTGACTAGGCCACGCCCACCATAGCCAGGCCCGGCCAGCCACCTGGCAGAGAACCCGTTGCTAAAAAAATTTGAAGGCCACCCCTGCATTATACCTCTATGGAGACTCTCAATCATGGTTGTCCCCCCCCCAAAAAAGGCAACTGGACTTTGACATTCCACTTCTCAACCCAGAACCTTCTTCAGTTCAGCTATCTGCAAAATCAGTGGCAAAGGAACTATTTTGCCTCTTCTCTTCCCCACTGAACTTCTCCTCCAGATCTGAGTCCTCCTCAAAATAGTCTTGGATTCAGGTTTTGCAACAGCACTGAATTCTCAACCCCGAGCTGATGCTGAGAACTGCAAACCGAAGTTCCCTAATCACTCCCTGTCTCTCACGGAGAGAAATTGCCCTCCCACTCTGTCTTGGCTGATTGGTGGAAGGTGTCATCTGCGGCTATAATTTACATCCAAAGGACTGCCATTCCTTGCAACACCAGTTTTGTTTTTTTTTAAAAAAGAGAAGTGGGAGACAGACATTATTTTATCAGATGTTGAGATAAGTGGGCAGCCGGGGCTGTGGGGGGAACAGATGTCAACCAAAGCTGTGACAGATAGAAAAGAAGATGGCGCAGTAGAAGAAAGAGGAGGAGGAGAAGGAAGAGGATGGCTGTGGGGTCCTTGGTGCTCTCTGAGCTTGGTTGTTTCCTTGCAGACGTTTCACGACCCAACTAGGGAACATTATCAGTGCTAGAAGAGAGTAAGGTTTGCAGAGGGAAGAGAAGGAGGACTGTGGGATCCTTGGTGCTCTGTGAGCTTGGTTGTTTTCTTGCAGACTTTTCATGATTCAACTTGGGAACATCATCAGTGCTAGAAGGCAGTTAGATTTGCAGAGGGGGGAGGAGGAAGAGGAGGAGGAGGAAAGGAGGAGAAAGAGGAGGAGGAGGAGAAAGAGGAGGAGGAGGAGGAGGAGGAGGAGGAGGAGGAGGAGGAGGAGGACAACTATGGGGTCATGAGGCTCTCTGAGCTTGGCTGTTTTCCTACAGACGCTTCATTACCCAAGTAGGTAACATCATCAGTGCTAGTAGGAAGTGGGGTGTGCTGATGATGTTACCTACTTGGGTAACACCTGCAAGAAAACCCACCAACCAAACTCAGGGAGCACCAGGGACTCTTCATTCCCCCTTTCTACCTGCTGCAGGGGAGGGTGGCAGCTAATTTTAGGAGACTTGGGGTGATCTACAGCACCACATTTTGGAAACCAAAACGATTGAGCATGTTTGAAAACCCTCCCCTCACCACTTTTTTTCTCTCTTTTGAACCTCTGCTTCTCACCTGTTGAGACCAGGAGCTGTGACCAGGAGCTGTGTCAAATTGAATGAAAATTTATATTCTTTATATCTGGGGAGAAAGCAGGGTAGAATAGAATAAGAATAAGAATAAGAATAAGAATAGAATAGAATAGAATAGAATAGAATAGAATAGAATAGAATAGAATAGAATAGAATAGAATAGAATAACAGTTGGAAGGGACCTTGGAGGTCTTCTAGTCCAACCCCCTGCTTAGGCAGGAAACCCTACACCACTTCAAACAAATGGTTGTCTTCTTAAAAACTTCCAGTGTTGGAGCATTCACAACTTCTGCAGGCAAGCTGTTCCACTGATTAATTGTTCCAACTGTCAGAAAAGTTCTCCTTAGTTCTAAGTTGCTTCTCTCCTTGATTAGTTTCCACCCGTTGCTTCTTGTCCTGCCCTCAGGTGCTTTGGAGAATAGCCTGACTCCCTCTTCTTTGGGGCAACCCCTGAGATATTGGAACACTCCTACCGTATCATCCATAGTCCTTCTTTTCAATGGACTAGACATACCCAATTCCTTCAACCTTTCTATATGTAGATTCAAAGCAACTAAGACAGAGTAGAGTGACTGCCTCATTCATTTTATGATGATGATGATGAATATTATGAATATTATGATTTATAACAGACGATGGGGGGTTTCTACGGGTCAAGATATTTGGGAGTTAAAAAGTAGAATGAGGTTCAGTTTTCTAAGCCCGCACTTGAAAGCAATTTCCATCTGGGCTAAAACCGATTGTTCTAATTAGGGGAAGAAATCTGCCAAATAGGATTTGCGTTATTCTGTGTAGTGTATTGCACATTCTTTTAAAAGGAAAAGGAAAAAGGAAAGGAAAAGAGTGTTTGATTATCAAGTAGCGCTAGCAGCTTTTTGGCTCTGATCCAGATTGAAGATAGTTTTCATTACATTTTGTTCTCTCTCGCTTTCCTGGAAATCTCTCAGCTCTGCTGTGGATTTTATGCTTGCAGTTTCTTCTTTTCTTTTCTCTTTTCTTTTTTCTTGTTAGGTCTTTTCATGTTGCTTAATGTTGTTCTCAAATGCTTCCAGTTTTATTTCACTTATTTTATTTATATTTTTAAGCTGCTGCCATTGGCTCAATCTGACAAATGAAAAGTTTAATAAAACACAGATTTCATTTCATTTGTTCCTCTGGGATGTCTTGTTTATTGAGCTCTCGGGAGGAATATGTAAACTTTGCAAAGGGGTTTAGAAATTGAGGAACGGTGAAACGACTCTTTCCTGCTTATTTTCTGAGTTCTGCTTTGTTCGGAAGTCTAAAATTCCTGGATTTGTTTCATGCAGTGTATCTCAACCTTGGCTACTGTGTATGAACCTCAACTCCCAGAATTCAGAAAGAGTGGGATAGAGAGTCTAAATGTGACTAAATATATGAATGGTTAGATTCATTCTGGGAAAGGGGGTTGCATCATTGAGTTCTGTTTCTTTCCATTGATGAAATCCAGGAGATGGAAGGGGCTTTCAAGGTCATCCAGCCCATCCTTCCACTCACTAAGAAATCCATCCATCTATCCATGTCTCTATCTCTATCCATCCATCTATTTCTGTATCTGTCAGTCTGGGAGATGGAAGGGGGCTTTGAAGACCCTCTAACTTCTCTTTCAATTCATAGTAAGAAATCTACCCATCCATCCACCCATCCATGTTATCCATCCATCCATCCACCTCTGTGTGTATCTGTCCATACATCCACCCTTCCACGTTATCCATCCATCCATCCACCTCTATATGTATCTGTCCATACATCCATGCATCTCTGTGTCTCTATCTCTGTCATCTCTATCTCTTATCTGCTTTTTTCCCCTCTAGTAAACTTGTTAAATGTTATATGGATTCTCCGAGCAAACTGAAGCAGAAAAATAATAAAAAATTTAAAAAACCATCAAGATCAGGCCTGGGGGGAAAAAAAAGATTCTCTTAGCCAGGCCCATGTTGGTCTTGAAATGCACCGTCGGAGGTTGAGCATTGAGAGCTTGTCATGTGGAAAGATCGCTAAGTAAATTACTTAAACGTCTCTTCGTCCTCTCGAAGACCGTGAGCCAACCATGCGGCAAACAAGGGCTTTGCGAGCCTCTGGGTGTATGAGTGTGTGGTTGTTGTGGTTCGCCAACAGGCAGTGCAAACGGCAGCGGAATCAAACAGTGGGGAAGAACAGGGACCTGTCCAGGAGTCTGGAGATGGGATGAGGTGGAGATGGAGCCAGGAGGACCATCTGGGAGTGGGGTGCTGCCTCTGGAGCCTTTGGAGTCTGGCAGCAGAGAGGCAGAGGATCCAGGGGAGCCTGTGCCCAGTGCACGTATGGGCAGAGCTGCTAGAAGGTGAGAGCAGCTTCCAAAAATCTGATGAGGTAACATCATAGGTGCACTGGTGATGTTGCTTGGTTGGCTTGGATAGCCTAATTGGGTCATGAAACTTCTGCAAGAAAACAACCAAGCTCAGAGGACACCGAGGACCTCGCTGTTCTCTTCCTCCACCTCCTCTTCTTCCCCTTCTCCTTCCTCCACTCTGCAAACCCCACTCCCTTCAAGCGCTGATGACATAACCCAGCTGGGGTCGTGAAACATCTGCAGGAAAACAGCCGAGGCTCAGAGAGCGCCGAGGATCTCACCGTTCAATCCCGAGCTGCAAATATTTCTCTTCTAAAGAATTTTTTTTAAAAAAAACAACAATATAAAGCAGGTTATTTCTCCAAACATAGTTTCCACCACTCAAAAGTGTTTTTGCAATTTCGTTCCTGGCAACGCATCTCTCTCTTGCATATACATGAGTTCCCTTTTAACAGGAAAGGTATTATAAGTATTCCGCAGTTGTTTTTCTCTTTTACAAGGTTGATGAAGACAGGAGCAGAAGTTGATTTGAAATTCTAGGAAGGTAGCACAAACAGTGGGTGGAACAGTCAGACTGAGAAGGGGAGGCTTCCGACATCTTAAAGGGTAACAGATTCACACGGCATAAAATTTCAGAGATGTGACAGTAAATCTGCTCCTGGTAATGAGCTGCAAGGATTTGCTTTGGGCGTGGACTTTAAAAACAACCTTAAAGTCTGCTTTTTCCCCTCTTCCAAGTGCCCAGAAGGAACAGGAAGAATTTCACACGTGGGTGTCTGTCTTTCACACTTTTTGGTGTGTCTTTCGCACATGGGTCTCGGCTTTGCAAAAAGGCAAGGGGCCACTCAGACGGAGGCCTTTTCGGGTCTGAAAATAGAAAGCTCTCCTAACACATCCCAAATACGCAATAAACGTTGGCATGAAGAGGGGAGGAAAAACTAGAAATACGATATGCAGATTTGTTGGTCTAAATCCTGAATGAGTTTCTCCCAGTTCATTCATGGGAATCCTTCCAGTGATCGGATTCAATTTTTTTTTTTACTACCGGTTCTGTGGGCGTGGCTTGGTGGGCGTGGCAGGGGAAGGAGACTGTAAAATCTGCCATTCCCTCCCCACACCTGGGGGAAGTTTACTGCGAAATCCCCATCCCACTAACCTGTTTTCCAGATCCATTCAGCTGGGACTCAGGAGGCAGAGAATGGATAGGGTTGGCAGGGCCAGTCAAAGGTGGGATTTGCAGGTTCTCTGAACTACTCAAAATTTCCACTACCGGTTCTCCAGAACTGGTCAGAACCTGCTGAATACCACCTCCGAAACCTTCATTAACAAAAATAATATATGAATATATGTATGGTATTCAGTATGGTAAACGGCTGTGAAAGTCTGACTCACAGACAAACACAATACAGAAGCCTGATGATGGCAGATGAGTTTCTCCCGAAACGTTGCTACAACTTTAAAAGCACAACTATAATGACATGGGAAAATACCTGAACAAAGCTGAATACCATACATGTAAGTACCCACAAAAACTTAAGAAAACAAACATGATTTCACAAAATCTCCAGAACTGTAAAGCCTACAAACTTGAAATTTGGCGCGCATGTTCCTCTTGGCTTCTAGGGGCTCGCTAAGAAACGATTTTTCGAAATGACCATCAGAGCCTTGGTTTTTTCTATATTATTATTATTAACACAGTCTGATGCTAAGGAGTTCTACTCCCCCTCTCCACCTGAAAAGAAATTTCTTCCAAATGCAAAAGACAAGCAGAGGAGAGGAGTTTCACTTTCAGTTTGTTTCACAGCAGCAAACAGCTTTAATACAGAACAGTTGAGCTAAGCCACACCCAGGCTCCTTGCTGTCTCCTTCTTGCTCACACAGCAAATATCACTTCAGTTTCCAAACTGCCCTCAACTCTCTCACACACTGACAGGACACGAGCCAGATGAATACCGATGGATGCTGGTAGGCAGAGGCAGAATTTTTTTCCCCTTGTTTTCCTCCCCAAAACTAAGCCCGACCACATGGTTTCGTAGCGAAACAGGGGTATCCAACTCGTATAGTTAATGTAAATGTAACTTAAAAGTAAATTAATGTAAATTAAAAGCAAAACGTGGAGGTTAGAGTGTGTTCATCTTCTACTGCGCGAAGAAGAATTGGAAGCCAATGCCTCGTTTTCTTTCTTTTTCCCTTTCTCCTTATAGCTCACACCCTCTTTTTTCCCTGCTCCCTTTCCTTCCCTTCCTTTTCCTATTTTTCTTCTCTTCTTTGTATTTTATATAATACAACCTTAATTAAAAAATCAACATGGGTTTAGCAGCAGGGCGATCTTTATTTGAAGTTGGTGTTTAGGCTAATGCAAGGATCTCCAAACTTGGCGACTTCACGGACTTCATCTCCCAGAATTCCTCAGCCACCCTTGGTTGGGGAATTCCGGGATTTGAAATCCACAAGTCTTAAACTTACCAAGTTTGGAGGCCCCTGGGCTAATGGATATAGGTAGTCCTCGACTTACAGACGCAATTGAGACCCGGATTTCCATTGCTAAACAAGGCAGTTGTTGAGTGAGTCATGGACAATTTATGACCTCTTTTGCTCTGATTGTTGAGTGATTCACTGCAGTTGTTCAGTGAATCAAGCTGTCCTTAAGCAAAAGCAGCTTCCTCTTGTTGACCTCTATTATTATTATTATTATCATTATCATCATTAATATAAATATTCCCCCCCCAAAAAATGTTTCACAGGACGAACGACCAGCTTGTCGCATTCTTGTCCAGATACCGGAACATGAACTTCTTGAAATCCCATGGAAGGGACAACGCAAGGTAAATGGCGCCTCTTTTCTGCATTTTGATGAGATAATGGCAAATAAAAGTGATGTTACTCTTCAGGTTCGTCCGTTCCTGCCCACCATGAAAATGCGAGTAGATGAATAGGTACCATTTCAGTGGAAAAGTAGAGTGGTGTGGTGGCCTAGAGGTGGAGCTCTTACCTCACAATCAGGAGGCTGTGAGTTTGATCCTGGGTAGGGGCAGATATTTCTCTCTCTGAGCACACTGGGAATACAACTGCTGCAAAAGGAAAACCTCCGCATTGGTAACAGGAAAGGCATCCAGCCAGTAAAACACTCAGCTCCATTCAGTTGCCCAGACTCCACATCCCGCAAGGGATTATGGGATCATTAAATGAGGATGATGTCTTCAGTGGGAAGATAACAGCATCTGAATAGAATAGAATAGAATAGAATAGAATAGAATTCTTTATTGGCCAAATGTGATTGAACACACAAGGAATTTGTCTTGGTGCAAATGCTCTCAGGGTATATAAAAGAAAAGATACATTCATCTCAAGAGTCAAGAATCATAAGGTGCAACACTTAATGATAGTCATAGGGTACAATAAGCCATCAAATCATACTAGGAAACAGTCAACATAAATCATAAGGATACAAGACACAAAGTTACAGTCATACAGACACAAGTGGGAGGGGATGTGTGATAAGGAGGGATGAGAAGATTAATAGCAATAGTAATGCAGACTTTGTAAATAGTTGGAACAGTGTTTGAGGGAATTACTTGTTTAGCAGAGTGATGGCTTTCGGGGAAAAACTGTCCTTGTGTCTAGTTGTTCTACATGCTGGCTACAAGACTACAGAAATTGTCTTTGAGCAATACTGGCCAAGCAATGGAGATGATCACCATTCCCTAGAGTTGAACACAACTTTATCTTTATTCTTTGTGTTTTTTTCACACACAAAAAAAAGAAGTTGTTTTGTATTAATCCATCTCCTAGGAAGGAAATGGGGAAGGTTTTCAACATAGATCTGATCGCTGGCCTCAAACTCTACCACCAACCAAATAATAACAAGGAGAAGATCCCACATCGCAATAGCAAATCAAGTTTCACCTCCGAAGCTTGTGACCACAACAGTGAGGATGAATTAAATCTGCTGATTAATTTAGCGATAAGAGGCACTAATGCGCCATTTGGCCCCACTTCTGCAGAATAATCGTTTGTGGCTTTAAGAGATCTCTCCAGAATACATAAACAGTTAATTACATCTCAGGATGTTGCCTTCCCTTCCCTTTCCATAGCGATATATATATTATTCAGAATCACTTTTCTTGTCTTTGAAAGTTTGACCTAAAGGGGTTTGTTTTTTTAAGATTCATTGCATGCACAATAGACAGCGCAATAAACAGCGCAATAATAAGCAGAAGCGCCCACCAGGAGTTGTGAAACTCCAGAAACACACCAATATCAGGTTTTTGGAAAGAGAAATAGTTACGGGAAAGAAAAAATGTGCCAAAGAAACAGACAGACAAACAAACAAGCCATCCTCTTTGGCTAAAACATTAAGTCTGCTCCAGTAGGAAAATGTATAATTCCACGGAAGCAGGAATTTACTTCCGGTTCTTTGCATACCGCAACTTTTAGGAGAAATAGGGGTGACAGGATAGCAGTATTACAATATCTGAGAGGCTGAATGTCTATGGAGATTCTTAGTCATCCAGGTCATGCTTTTTTCAACAGGCAACTAGACTCTCTGGGTTTTTTTTGAAGATGTTTCCTTTCTCATCAGTGGTGGGATTCAATTTTTTTTACTGGCTTGGTGGCCGTGGCAAGGGAAGGATACTGCAAAATCTCCATTCCCACCCCACTCCTGGGGAAAGGTGACTTGTAAGATCTCCATTCCCTCCCCATCCCACTAACCTGCTTTCCAGCTCCGTTCTCCTGTGCAGGGCAACCAAGGAAGACCCAGCCGATCAGCTGGGACTCAATGGGAGGCAGGGAATAGATGGGGTTGGCAGGGCCAGTCAGAGGTGGGATTTGCCGGTTCTCCGAACTACTCAAAATTTCCACTACCGGTTCTCCAGAACTGGTCAGAACCGGCTGAATATACCACCTCTGCTTCTCATCCAAGGAGCTTCTTCAGCTCTGACTGGATGGTGGGGAATGGAAGGATTTATACTCCTTGCAGACCGCTGGATATTTGAAGAGGGGTTAAAGAGGCCATCTGTGTCAAAATTGAACAGCCCTTTCTCAACAGAGGGGGAGGGAATATCTCCAATCTACAACAGGAAGACTCCACATCCATTTTCATTACTCAGGTGACTCTGACGATGGCCTTAACGACTCTCTAAAAAGGATGCAAACGACCAGCTCTGTCTTCAAGGAGCATAAACCCTTCCCTTCCCCCACCAACCAGTCAGAGCGGAAGAAGCTTCTTGGATGAGAAGCAAAGCGTCTTCAAAGCAAAACCAGAAAGTCCAGTTGCCTCTTGAAAAAAAAAAGACTCAATAATTTCTCCCGAGCCCCTGAAGGCAGGAGAAGCAGCCATGGAGGGAATGGATTATCCATCGGGACCCCTGCAAGTTTTCATAAAACACAATTCTCTCTGTAGCCTAGCGTTTTTAGCCTTGTGGTCCTACTAGCATTCACGTTCTCTCCAGGGTGGGTTGTCACTGTACCTTCGCCCTCCTTGGAGATCTCCTGCTTCCCCGTGTATTAGTGAATCGAATACGGTGGTTCCTTGGGATCCGTTTGGCTGCAGGCCACGTGCTTATTTCCTTTCGAAAGCAGAGTGTGCTAATTGCAGGAGTGATGTCGCCCTTGAAATATTAGCACATTTTGAATGGGGGGGTGGGGTGGGGGGAGGAGGTGAAGAGGAAGACAAGCGCAAAAGCCTTCAGAAACCTGTCTACTTTACAGAGAGTGTTCTATTACACCGAGTTCCCTGGTATAAAAGCATCTGGTTTGCTCTAATGAAACAATAAACCCTTTTATTGCTTGTACTTTGCGCCCTGCCTTTCTTGGCTCTTTTAAAGTCTACACAATTCCACAAATGCGTTTTTGAAGTTGCTGTTAAAAGGAAAAAAGGGGATCTTGCTAAGAAAATGGAACAGAAAGCGTTGGCTGTCCTGTTGGAAAACAATTCAAGGTTGGATTGTGTTTCAAATCTAAATTGTTCTTCTTGGAACACCAGAAAAGAGCCTTATGTAAGACGAGAAGGTCATGTTTTGATCTGTCACAACAGCCATTCTCCAATTGAGTGTCCTCAGCTGCTTGGAGAATTCTGAAAGTTTGAAGTCGCCACATCTGGAAGGGACCCAGATTGCGAAAAATTCGTAGAAGTGCTGGTTTCAGCATCTTCGAACCTTCTCCAACTTCTAGATATATTGGAGTTTATTAATCATTGACCTCTTCGAATGAATTTTGTGTTAGAATCGCGATGTTCTATTTTCTGCACCAGCCATATATTTAGATACGGTTTTACTATAGTCTTTCCATGCTCAGTAAAGCTTCTACCTTAGACTACATCCTTGAATATCTAACGATGACCCATTTTGGCTAGAGTTGTCCACCCACTGCTAATGGCAGCAAGTTGGTCATGAAAATCCACATGCCCTGATGTGAATTTGAGTATGTCTTATCTACTGAAAAGAAAGACCAGGGGAAACATGATAGCAGTGTTGCAATATTTGAGGGGCTGCCACAAAGAAGAGGGGGTCAACTTATTTTCCAAAGCACCAGAAAGCAAGACAAGAAACAATGGGTGGAAACTAATCAAAGAGAGAAGCAACCTAGAACCTAGGGGTTGGACTGGAAGACCTCTATGGTCCCTTCCAACTGTATTATTCTGTTATCTGGACATTTTCTGCAACCCGATACAAATAGTATGCTGATTCATGGTGTATTGACTAAGCCTTCATTGGCTGAGCTAACCCAATATGCTAACCCAAAATTCATCTTTTACAAACTACACTAGTATGCAAAATGCAAAGTCATGTTATGGTTTAATGAGATGTATGACTCCAACCTGGTTAGCTGGTTTTGAATTGGGTTGCCGTTTGCCAGTAAAACTCCTATCTGAATAGTAGAGTTCTAAACTTGGCATCCATTTAGGATAAAACAGCTTTTTATGGTTCAAGGCCCTGATCTTGACTGAGAACTTATAAATATTCTAAATGACACATCAGTTGCGAAATGCATGACACCCTGAACCTGTTTTAAAATTCATTGCTCTGTGAACAGAAGGGAGGCTGTGTTTACATCTGGAAAATTACAAATGAATCTCTACTGGAGACTTGTTGGTAGGTGGAAAATTAAAGCTAAATAAGGGATCTCTTCATGCTATTCTGGAATTTTATTTATTTTTCGTAGTCGGTAGGGTCCTTCGGAGGCTGTATTTAAAGAGGACTTACTTCCATGTGTAGAAAATTAGCACCCACCATTCTCCTAGAAGAATGAAATATTTTAGGAAATATTAAAAAGGCAGAATATTACATTTCCCCTAAAAGAGAAATAGAAATCTTAAGGGAGACAGAAACTCAGAGCCACAATTCCCTGCCTCCAAGCAGATACTAAGCTAAGGCCAGCTTTTAGAAATGCAGATTTGGTAATCCATTCAAGACAGGATATTTTGAACAAAGGCTAAATTAGGTAGAATGGTTGGATCAGCTCTCACTCAAGACCCAAACCAGAAAAGCCATTAAGACACAATAGGAACAGCCCAACAACCCTTTCAGGACACAAGACTCGTCATTCCATCACCCAGCAGGCTTCAAACTTGATTCAGATAAACTGACCCCACATGGCCACATGGGAGTCTGACTACAGCAACCAATAAGCATACATGCTCTTGCCACAGGAACAGGAAGCTCAAGGGCAAGGCCCAAGAGAGGGAATAAATAACCCTCACTTTCCACTCCACTTGTTCAGCTGCCCAGGACCTCAAAACGCATGTGGTCCTATCCATCAATAAACCATCTTTCCAATCCGCCTCCATGTTTCCAGTGTTTTTTCTCCCCGCTTGGAAGTGAACCGGATGCAGGGGGTGGGATTCAGCCGGTTCGCCCCGGTTCAGGCAAACCGGATGTTAAAATTACAGCCGGTTCACCGAACTGGTCGATGAACCAACTGGCTGGCCCATCCCCACCCCTCCCCTCCCCAGAGTCTCCACGCAGCCCATTTTGGACGCAGTGAAGCGCACAGTCTGTGCAGAGGCTCTGGAAGGGCGAAAAACAGCCCTCGCGGAAGTTCCAGAAGTCTAGAAACAGGCCTGTTTCCAGCTTCTGGAGTCCGAGGGAGGCCATTTTTGCCATCCCAGAGGCCTGAGGAAAGCCTCCGGACTCTGGGGAAGGCAAAAAATGGCCCTTTTTCTTCCAACACATGCTATGGAAGGATGACTCATTTCTGAACAGGCCAGTCAGCTCCATTCTGAAGCAGAAGTTTCCATTCACTCATCCTAGGCCGGTAGCAGAAATCTGGGTATTGAAGTCCAAGTCTTTTGAAGGAAATCAAGAGTTGGAAAAGCCACCGTTCAAGAGCACGTTTTGTAAGGCTGGCACAATTTTGCTGGGTGGATCCGGTGACTCAGCAAACATATGTTAAAAGGAACAGTCTCGACCCCTTTGTTTAGGAAACGCTCCCAACCCACATCTGCTTGTTGTTAAGGAGAGTGAGGAAGGGGATATGAAGTCGTCCTCCAGTCTTTGCAAAAGTCACCACTTAGACGTCATTGCAACCGATTCTATTAATGTCAGAAGATGAATATTTAAATTGCAGGTGGTCGCAGCCCGAGACAGTAATTTCTTTGTTCCTTTTTCTAGAAGAGTTTGCTGCAGATGGAATTGCAGCTTCTCTGTCTTCTTCAGCTTTTTTTTTAAAAAAAAATTCTTTTCCAGCTTTTTTTTTTTTTCCAAGTTGCAATTAGAAGTAATTGGCTATCTGGGCTGATTTTTGTTCACTGTGATTGGAACACCAAGCAAACCTTCTGAAATAGTGCCACACCATTTTTATTTTTATTTTTTTTGTGGCTATCTTAAAGTAAGCATCAAATAAGAAGATCCTTCCTTTCACTTCACTGAACTGTTTTTCTAAATTGTGTGAGTCCACACTGTCATGTATTTTTAAACACTTCTTAACCTAAAACTTTGCTAAAGCTTTTAACTTTAAGAAGGAGAATATTGGGTGAATCTGTGGACCTTTCTTTTTTGGCTACAGAAATGTCCCATTTCTCTAAAATAACACATGTACATAATGAGTTCAAAGTAATGTAACCTGGGTGAAGCAGGAAGTAAGCAAGGGGGATCCTGGCACAACTGATCATCGGAACAGCTGGTCATCAGGGGGAGGGGAAGAAATACCTTAAAGAGTGACTGGGCCACGCCCTTTTCCGACAAATCAAACACAATTCAAAAAAGAACAGAAACCTTGTAATGCTTTTACAAAATAATTCGCTGTGATAAGCACAAGCCTTGCCAAACTGTGCGAGACTTTGCCAAATGATAACAGACAAGAAATAATTTGCAAAATAAGAATCTTCAAATACAAACTCCGGATACTGGAATGTCCACGAGGCTGAGTTCCAAATCGTGTTTGCTTCCTGCAAAGAGTGTTTGCTTCCTGCAAAGAATGTTTGCTTCACAGCTGGATTTTATCTTCTTGAAGGAGGGCCCATTACCTTGCAGCCTTACTCCTGAGTCGCCCGTGCTGTTGTAGCTGCTCTTACCTCCTAGCAATCCTGTGTGCATACACGCTTGGCACAGGCTCCTAGGGAACCTCCTCATCACTGCTGCTAGCCCCCACAATCTCTGAAGGCAGCAGTCCACTCTCTATTGGTCCTGGCCTCTCATCTGAGTCCTCGTTCTCCTCTGCCGTCTGCACCTGCTGCCGGCTAACCACAACAAACGCAGTCAGCGATGTCAGGCATACGCATAATGTTGCACATGTGCAATAAGGACTGACTGGGAGGGTAGGGGCAGGCAAAGAGGAGCAGGGCCAGCCAGGGGCATGATTTGCCGGTTCTCCAAACTGCACAGAATCATAACAACCGATTCTATAGAACCAGTCTAAACCGGTAGAATCCCACCCCTGTCTAATGGGTTTCCTTTATTCCCTCCCACCCCACCCCTCCCCAAAATAAAAACCAATGTTATAACCCCCCCTCACCATAAATATTTGATTCCGCATGGAATTGACTCAATCCACCTGGAAATTCTAGAACCTCTTCATTCAAATTGCGAAGCTTTTTCACCGTCCTTTGTCATTGAAAGGAAAATTATAATCTGATTGATGGGATTGTTTTTTTAAAAAAAAAACCCAACTCACTCTTTTTAAACTCACTTTTGTCTCCTCAAAATGGGCCAACAGGTTTTGAGTGCCTCCCTTCAATTGGATTTAATTAGAGCCACGATGTGGTTCTTTTTAATTACCCGACTCGCTTGGTTTTAAAAGGAAATCTGTCTATCACAACTAGGCTGTTAATTGTTTAGATGGCAGAGTTTCAGAAATTATTATTATGATTCGCCGCTCAGTCAGCCAGATGTTTAGACTGGATTTGGCCTCCACCAATTAAGTCCTCTCCAAGGACCTGGGATAGGCAGATGGTGTTGAAAGTCTCGTCACAGGATGTAAGCTCTTCCAGGTAAAGCTGCCTTTTGCAATTGACCAATGGTGATTTTATCAATGCGGATGGTGTTCAACGGGTGCTACAGATGTTTTGGGAATGCACCAAGGTGCCTATTACTATTGGTACTACTATTACTATGGTTGATTGCGCAGTCAGCCAGTTGTTCGATGGCATTAAAGGTATCATCGCAGGATGTAAGCTGTTATAAAGCTGCCTTTCGCAATTGACTGATGGGGATTTTGTCAATGGCAAGAGGGTTCAGTTGTTGCTCCAATCATTTTGGGATTGCATTCCTATTACAATTGGTACTATTTTTGTTTTCTTTTGCCGCAGATGTTCTGTTTCTTAACGCTTTTAAGAATTGAGAACATTAGGTGAATCTGTAGCCCTTTCTTTTTAAAGTTATTTACTAAACTTATATCCCGCCCATCTCACTAGTGATCCAAGTTCTTTCTTCTCTCCATTTGTTTCATAGCCCAGCCATTCCTATCCACTCGTGTTGTTCTTTTTGTTGCTGGCAAACCATCTTTCCTAGCTTATATCCTCTTTTTTTGGCCACTGTTTTAAAATGTGTTGACAGCGCAGGTTGGAAGACTTCCCGTTAGTTGAATTTTTCGATTTGTGTCTTTCAATTAATTTTTATTTAAACCATTTGCATGGCCACCAATCTCACGAAGGTGTGAGTGATGTACATACATTAAAAAACACAAGTGTATAGCAACGAATTAACACTGGAGGTTACAAGCCTTAACCCAACATTAACCAGCGCAGAATTAATTCACAATAGCTTTCAAGCAAGCAACATAATTCTCTAGACAAGAGCAAAACTCTTGTTTTGCTTAGCACCATTTGGAGATTAGAGATATGTTAAAATAAAGAAATGGGAAGGGCACCAGCTTGTCTTTTGAAGGAAGCAAAATGTTTTTGGTCTGCCTTGGTCTGATGGCTTTAGACCTACTTATCTTATTTCACAAGTTTCTTTATCATTCCTTTTGAGGTGTAAGATACATCTCAAAAGGAACTTCTTAATCCTTTATTTGTCTTCTTCTGTTGTCCAGATTTATTAGAAAACAAGGCCTTGATAGATTGTTTCTGGAATGTGATACCCACATGTGGAGACTCGGGGACCGGAAAATCCCGGAAGGAATCACTGTGGATGGTGGTTCTGATTGGTTTCTGCTGAACAGGAAGTTTGTCGAATACATCACATTTTCAACAGATGACTTGGTGACCAAGATGAAACGGTTCTATTCCTTTACTCTACTTCCTGCTGAGGTGAGTCAACCTACAGCCCCCTCAACAAGAATACCATCGAAGAGCCAAGCGAGATTCCATACCTTGAATCGCATCTTCCAAACTTAAGTCTTCTTTGAAGCTGTCCGATCTTTTGTTTACAGGTTGTAAACACGATACAATTGACAATCGAGAATAGAGAATATCTGTTGGTCAGGGTTGAACTGTGTGGCCCTGGTTGCTCTCTTGAGCTTGGTGGTTTTCTCATAGGCATTTCGTTACCAAACTAGGTAGCATCATCAGCTAGTACTGGTGATATTATCTAGCTTGGGTAATGAAACGTCTGTGAGAAAACCACCAAGCTCAGAGAGCACCAAGGACCTCTTGTTTCAACCCTGAGATACAAATATTCTCCTTTATTGTTTTGACAATCCGTGGACCCCTTTGCCTTTAGAAAAGTGTGTCATGATGTGTTTCCTCCTCCTCCTCCTCCTCCTCCTTTTCCTTTTCCTCTTCTTCCTCATCTCCTTTTCCTCTTCCTCTTCTCCTCCTCCTCTTCCTTTTCTTCTCTTCCTTGTCTCCATTTCTTCTTCCTTTTTCTTTTCTTCCTCTTCTTCTCTACCTCCTCCTCTTGTTCTTCCTCTCTTCTTTCTCCTCCTCCTCCTTTTCTCCTTGTCTTCTTTTTCTCTTCCTCTTCTCCTTCTTCTCCTCTTCTCCTCCTCTTCTTCTTCCTCTTCTTTTCCTCTTCCTCTCCTGCTCTTCTTCCTCTCTACCTTCTCTTCTTCTTCCTCTCTTCTTTCTCCCTTTCTCTTCCTTTTCCTCCTCCTCTTCTTCCTTTTTCTCTGCCCCTCTTCTCCTCCTCTTCTTCCTCTACCTTCTCTTCTTCCTCCTCTCTTTTTCCTCCCCTTCTCTTCCTTTTCCTCCTCTCCTCCTTTCCTCCTCCTCTTCCTCCTTTTCCTCTTCCCCTCTTCTTCTCCTCCTCCTAAATGTGCAAAAGCCACCGTATCTTATGGGGCTGCCTCACTGCCTGGGACTTCTAAACATTGAAATTGCAGCGATCTAATATTTTTTTTAAGGGGGGGCAGGGGAAAGGGGGAAAAAACAGCTTCCCTTCCAGATCAGAGTTCTTGTCCGCCTTTAAACAGCAAATAATGGCGTAAGCGTTTTGGAAATAATTTCAGGGGACAGCTTGTGCTTGGGAAAGGGGGGGGGGCGGGCGAGTGGCATAATTCAGCATGAGATCATTATAAACATATTAGAGCTTCCAAGTAAAGCAGCCCCATTGTTTGTCAATGTTTTGATTTTGTTTTATTTTGTAGTTCAGGGTGCTTTTATCGGGGGCGGGGGGGAGGAAGAAGAAGAGGAGGAGGGAGGAGGAAGGGAGGAAGGAAAGGAGGAGGAGGAAGGAGAAGAAGACGAAGAGGAGAAGAAGAAGGAGAAGAAGAAGAAGAAGGAGAGGAGAAGGAGAAGGAGAGGGAGGAGAAGGAGAAGGAGAAGGAGAAGAAGAAGAAGAAGAAGAAGAAGAAGAAGAAGAAGAAGAAGAAG